TGTGCTCAAACAGTATGGATATCTTCAAACTTGTTTCGCACTAGACCTGCTGCTATTGCTGCTGTTGTTGTCGCCTGCTTCTGTGCAGTTTCTGCTTTTTGTTTCTACTGCTTCCGAAGCGCTACAAGGCCCAAATTTCAGCCAGACCTGGGGAGAGCTTGACCCTCCTTTGACGCTGATATGGCGCTGCCATTCGCGTAGTCTCTTGTGTCTGGAAGTGCAAAGGGGCAGCAGCTGCAGCAGGCCGTACAACCCCCCCAGCAGTAGCAGGAGCAACCAGCAGCAAACCAGCCACATGTCCCCGGGAGGAAACTGCGTCAAACCGCAGCAGCACAAGGCAAGGTAAAAGACCAGCTCGTTGACCCCCGTTTCAATTGGGGACTCCTTCTTCAGAATCGTGTGCGAAAAGCAAGGGTAGTCGTGTAGAGGATTAAACAGCGCATACAGAGGAAAGAAACAGCAAAATTGCATCTGCAGGCGTTGAGGAACCATCAGAGTTGGGGGCTGCAAAGCCGCAGCGCCAGCCGCATGCAGAGGCTTCTAGCCGCCTGATGAGAACTGTGCCCAAGGAAACCAGCAGCAACATCAGAAGAAGTAGCAGCAACAGGCCCAACGTCTGTTTAAAGGGCAGCAACAAACGACAGAAGACTGAATAAGCTGAATTTGTCCTCTCTTCTGCTTCCTGCACCGCACGCACATCACCCCATACGCACTAGACCCTAAACTTGACGACCTAAGCCCGAGAAAATAGACCCCTTTCACTGCCTGGTCAGCTTATCTAGCACTGTAGCCAATCTCTGCTGCAGCGGGGCCCCCCAGTGAGCTCGAAAATGTTCGCGTAGTAAACGAATTTCGCTCTAAGTAATATTAGGTGCCAATGCCCCAAATTAAACATAAGTAAACATAAACAAGTAAACATAAGTGGGAGCCATCAAAGGCTATTAAAAGTATTAAATATTCAATAGGAATCATCCAAGAAGACTGAGTACTAGTAGCCAAGTCCCATTTAGCACAGCTGAACATGGCTACTACTAAACAAATGCAACTAAAAATTTCCACGTAAACATAACGAAAAGCCCTGGACATAGTTAATCGGAAATGAGCAGCTTATTCTCGATCAACCGAAATTTGGTATTCAAAAATAAAAGGTAGTAACTACACTCTTAGAAAAGTCCAGCAAAAGCCAACACCACCTGACAATGTCCAGAGAAAACCCTTACCTGCAACTTGTACTTCTTCTCGCTGCACATGCGCTGCTGCGCACGCAGCTGCTGGAAAGTCTCGGCGTCTGAAGGGCTCATTTGGCGGCCTCCTGCATATTTGTTCTGCGAGAAAAATCACGAATAAGAAAGCGCCGGTTATATGTAATAATTACAAATATGTACATAAAAGT